AAGTCAGAAGTTCGACGAACTTCGAACTTTTAGGGTAAAAGTTCGACGTTCGTCGAACTTCGAAAGACCGGCGGACGGTTTCATTTGATTTCAAGTAGTGGGGTACATTCGTAATTTTTTTTTTCTCGAACTTTTACACGCGGTGCTGCGTTCCTTACGAAAGACAATGGCGTTTATTTCAATGTTCTGGCATGCTTAGGTTTAAAGAAATAAATCCCCGAAGGGGCGAGGAAGGACGACGGGTTTTTGACGATTATCGTTTGTGCCAGATTTGAAGCACGCTGCAGCCGGAGCTATTCATGGTAGATAAGTTATACTTTTTTAAGAATGATCTATGTATAGCCTAGGTAAGTGCCGTCTTAAGATGTGATTATTGTTATTCAACGTGAGTTTCGAAGAAATGTCCAAACATGTATCTGCATGCAATTATGACCTAAACTTGATATTTATTTTCGTCTAAGTTGTTTGAGGTATCGCATTTAAATTAACACCACAGACAGTACATATCATTGCCATCTGCAGAATACAAAATAATATATTTATTGTTTTTTCACGTTAAGGAATAAATTAACTCATGGGAGAAGATTTCTAGTAGTGTTCAAGTTCAGCACGTCATTAAAAGAAAACTTTTTTTTTTTTTTTTTTTCGTTTCACGTTCTTGGGACGTGTTTCTTTTAGCCTGTACACATTTTGGTAAAAGAAACTTGTTTCGAAGTTCTGAACCTCTGAATATGCAAGAATAGAACACTTTCGACGAATTCTTGATAATTTTTTTTTTTCTCCTGCTTTTTATTCCCGCATTTATTCTTTTTTTTTTTTTTTATTTTGTTACTATCGGCACAGGTGTTTAGGTCGAAAAGACAGCTTTGAACTTCTGAACCACTAAGCATGTGACGAGCAGTGCCTTCTGACAACGAGTTTCTAACAATGACCATCTACGCAACCTTTTATGCAGTGAAGAGCGACAGTAGCTATACATATGCATAAATAATTTCAGATTAAAATAAGCTCGACCACGCCCTCTTTCTCCGTATTGTTTTCTGTAACAGTCCGAAATACCTGCAAGAAGAGAAGGAGGCTGAAGCCCCCCCCCCCCCCCCCCCCCCCGCTACCCTCTTTCCCCCTGTTTTTCCTCTTCCGACGCCACTTGTATGGTAGAACGCTCCTCGACCTCGAGTTGTGTCAGCTTTGGTGCTTTTTGCGAGGCGATTCCTCCGTCCCAGAAAATAAACCTCCAGGACAATTATAAACTTCACCGGATCGGATTACTACCAGCGTGCAAGGGGTGGCGAGCTAGTTTGCCAGGTCGCTTCACGGTTTTTCTGAGCCTCAACCTCCTGCTCGCCCCTGACCGTTTCTAACTGTAAGAGTCTCGTAAAACAGTGTGTTAGTGTGATCACTACTGCGTGATGCAGGTTAAAGACCCCCCCCCCCCCCCCCCCCCGGGGCTGGCGGTCACAATTCTGCACTGGCAAATATTCTAGCACGTCCGGGACACTCGTCGTCTCATTTAATTGCCTGACCAACTTCGCAGAATCTAGATATCACACCCGGACTTTTCTAAACTTGATTTTGTGAAAACCAATGAGTCATGAAAACGTTATTTGAAACTGAAACTGTGGAAAAACTTGAAAATCGGACTTCGAACTTTGAAAACTTGGATTAGAAAGAAATTCAAAATCATCGAAGTTTTTTTTTTTTTTTTTTTTTTTTTTTTGAATTTAGCGTTAAAAGAGAATCGAAACCTTCGAACTTTTCAAACTTTATGCAAAAAAAAATTCGAAATCTTCGAATTGCTCGAACTTCATGTCTATAAAAATTCGAAGCGTTCGAAGTTTTCGAATTTTTTGTACAAAGAATTTCGAAATCTTCGAATTTATCGAACCTGAAGTAAAAAAATATTCGAAATATTCGAATTAGAAATTTTAGAAACCGTGAAAGCTTCGAACTTTTCGAATTCGAAACTCCGCTGTGGACAAAAGTTGCGAATTTTTCGAAATCGAACCTCGGTCGGTACGAAAATATCAAAATTTTTCGAAATCGAACCTCAGTTCGCTTCGCAAATATCGAAACCTAGGGTGGTTCGCGACATCCCTAAGCACAATAGGTTGGGAAACCGATTTTTGCGGTCCATTTAAAAAGCCTGACCGCTATTTGAAACACCCGCTAGTTTCTTGTTGTCCGAATTATTTGCTTATACTCCGTTTCACCTTACGTAGGACCGCAGTGGAAGGCTGGGGGCTGTGACGCGACCCAGACAAGTTGTTCCTACGCATCGCGAAGTAGTGCATCAAAGACCTTGGGCAGTATGAAGCGTGGGTATACTTTAGCCTTAGTTTAACATTTTTGTGTCGTGTACCATCAACACAAAAACAACTTTTGTATTCAAGAAGAGCTTTCAAACGTGATATTTAATACATAATTAGGTAGCATGTCCGGAGAAATTAAACTTTTAGTTGGCAACGCTGCCGTTGTGTTTGTTTCTTCATGCATTTGGTTCAGGTTTGCTTTCCATTTCGTGATGTGATCTTAAAAAAATGTTTGTTCCAAAGAGAAGTTTTTTTATTTAACAGTTATTGGTACACTCTGTAAAACTCTGATAAATGTTTATTGGAAGCAATCATTTCAACTTTACAAATACTTTTGCCCATGTTTAAGATGTCAGGTGACAAATTGTCGTTGTTTGCGCAATGGCTGCAGCATCGTCAAGCATGTCTCCGTCAGAGACGCCGGTACTTCCATCACCAGCTCGCTTCCAGACAACAATTGCTAAAACCTCAATTGGAAAAGAGGCGCGCCAAGTTGAGCTGAACGTTTACTACAATAATTGGGGCCAACATCGCTAGGTGCGAATTCGCACAGTTCGAAGCTCAAGGGGCCTTCGCACGTTGGTGCCGTCTCAGAAACGTTCGTGGATTCAGGAGGCTGTGTTCACCGGGATCACGACGGACGAGCTGGTAGGCCATCGTAGTGAATGCAACAGAAAACATCCATTGACAACATGTCTGGTTGTGCCGTGAAGCGGAGATTTATTCGTTGATGCCGCATGGTTTTTGCGGAATTGGAGAAAAGAAAAATAGCTTCATACCGCCGTGCGTGATTCGTCACTCGCTCTCCGAGAGCTATAGTGTTGATGAACGTTCCCCCTACGTCGTGGCAGTCACATTAGGAGTTCTTGTTAAACGCACGCACGGTTTTGCAGAAAAAACTATGAATTAAAACACACACTTTCACTTTTCTTTACCGATTTCTAAAACTTTGGCCTGCGCGTTCTGCATGCGAGCAGGGGTGCTATGTTGCGCTTTTTGGACTCCCCGGAGACTAGGGAGAAGGAAGTGGCGTCAACGACACAGCAAATGCAGATTGGATGTTGACAGAAGAAAACGAAATCAACACCCAATGTGTGTTTGCTGTGTCGTTGACGTCACTTCCTTCTCCCTAGTCTCCTGGGAGTCCAAAAAGCGCAAAATAGCACCCCAAGAGTATGTGGCGAATCTCCAAGCAAGCAAGAGCGTTTCGGTTAAAGTCAAAGTTCGATTGTTACCACTTACCTGAATTGTTGAGTGACTTAAAACGTGTAGATGGGTTTCTGTATGCCACAAGTAAAGCGAAAGGCTTCTTTGGACCCTGCTTCTGCTCGACGGGTAAAGCTATCTGCGTAAGCCTATCCCACACAGAAAGGCAACGAAACCGTTGCGCGTCGATCTCACAACTCCAGAATGCTCCAGCGTTCCGTAATAAGCGAAGAACATTACACAAAGTACGGTATGCTAATCGAAAAAAGCAGATGCGATCGGTTCATCCCCAGTGAGCCCGCCTAAACCTTCCTGACGGCGCCATTGCAACCCGCACACTGGTACCGCTGATACCAAGGAGGTTAGAAGTACTAGGAGGGGGCACGTTGCAGTATTGGTGAAGCCTAGTCATAAAAAGTTTAAACGATTCTGTGCCCAGCGTGACCGCAGATCTCTCTCGCAATTGGTGCGCGTGACATGTCACGTGTGAGATGGATGGTTGATTGTAGAAGGACTCCTTGCAGGCTTGCGCGCGCTCCGTCCGGTAGGTTTTATCAGATCGAAGGCTAGACTGTGGTGTCTTCCAGTACGCCATAGCAAGACGAAGGCTAGCTACGGTCACGTGATGTGGTCACGTTGGCCTGATAAGTGAGGAGGGTAAGGAGGAGAACGAGAAAGAGGCGAGGCGTCAAGGGAACGTGGTTTGTGGAGGCTACGCGGCCGACGTCATGCCCTCTCCTACCCTTCTATCCTCCTTGGCTGATACGCGCTTGAGGAGCAAGCTGACGTCACTTCTTAGCATGCGCTTGATTGGCTCTGGCAGTCCGTAGCTTTGGCTCGGGGTCCAACGTAAGGTGAAACAGAGTATAGTAGCGTCCCGATTGTAGACCGTTTGATCACCTTTCCTTCCGTTGCCATGGGTGGCCAATTTTTGCATTATTAATTCTTGCTGTTCAGTTTACATTCCAACGTGTCGTCACCTTTTCGCAAGACTTTACACCTGCCAGGGGCCCTATGTTGAGCTTTTTGGACTCCCACGGCGACTAGGGAGTAGGAAGTGGCGTCAACAACGCAGCAAACGCAGACTGGATGTTGATTGGTGAGAGTCGCTGATGACGAATATCCGCGGAAGAAAACAAAGAAAAAGTGAGCTTTGTTTTCTTCTGCGGAACTTCGTCATCAGCGACTATCACCAATCAACATCCAATCTGCGTTTGCTGCGTTGTTGACGTAACTTCCTTCTCCCTAGTCCCCGTGGGAGTCCAAAAAGCGCAACAGGGGGCTGGTGTGGCCGGCCCCATTGCTTGCCATCAGTCAAACCCGGATCGTCTACTCTTTCTAAACAATCGTTTCGTTATTCTCGGACTAGTAATTTTTTTAAAAATTGTATTTAACCTCCGCCCACATTTTTCGACAGAGCTACAGCTACCATTTCAAGGAGGTGATAGGCACGCGACTCAAGAAACACACAGGGCAGCAACTCACAGCGTGCGGTCGGAAGGAAACCTGAAGAGCTGCAGGCCACGGCTGTTGCCCGCTCGAGTTCGACAACCTTTCGCCCAGCATTGCCGTCCTGAAGAGGCGCTCATGTCCTTCGCACGATCCACAAATAATCGTGAAAACTCCACCACAGCCTGCGACGCTTGCTCCGACGCGATTTTGAACCCTACCAGCTCTACCATTGGATTGATTTGGATTCCAGGAGGAATGGCTGGACATGCTCTAAACAAAACTGACTTGGGACCGTGGGACCTCGTTGCGTGCGTTGCGTGAGACAAAACTAGTGATTCAGGACAAAACGACAGAACGCAGGAGACTTCTGTTTATAATTTTGTGTCCTCTGCGACGTCACATTTTTGTTTATATTATTTCGTAATAAATGAGTTGAATATCTATGCTCTGAATAAGGTTTGCTTCGTGTGCAGTGTTTTCTGCAATTAAATTTAAGTGTCAATTGAATTGAAAATTTATAAACACAAAACTTAAAAATAAATTGAAACAATTAGCAACTTTTTCTTATTATTTTTATTGCTTCAGAATGATAGTTTGCAGTTTTCTCTAAATTTTGCTACAACAAAGCTTGAGTGGTTGACGTTGGCAACGCTTTTCAAAATGGCCGCGCGCGTAGTTGTCGTTTCGCGAGTTTCGCTGTGTTTCGCTGTGAGGTTCGTGGGCCCAGATGTTTTGATACTGGACTTCATGTTCTAATAATGATGAAAATGTGAAACGCGTCTCGTACACAGGTGAGTGTATTCATTCTGTAGCTTCATCGAATCCTACGAGAGGCCTATGTGTTCATCAACGATAACTCGGAAGTCCACGTTTCAAGTGCGCTTACGTGTACACGCAAGCGGCCGCGGCGGGCTCCTGCGACCGTCAAGATGACGACGAAGAAGAACCTAGTCCAGCAGGCCACCAAAGCGGCTTCGTACAACATCCTGCTTCAGGTCTCGCTGCGCGTCGTCACGTTCGTGCTCAACGCCTTCATCCTCCGCCACGTCTCCAAAGACGTCTTGGGCGTCGTCAACGTCCGCCTCCTTCTGCTGTACACCACCGTGCAGTTCCTGAGCAGAGAACCTTTTCGACGCGCCTGCCTCAGCAACGGACAGCCTTCTCGCTGGCCCGCGGTCATCAGCCTAGCATGGTTCTGCGTGCCCGTGTCCGCTTCCGTCGGTGCCGTCGCCGGCTTCGCCTGGCTCTTCCTGCTCGAGCGGCCCGAACCGTCCCTGGTGGCTGGCTACCCTACGGGCGTTTGCGCCATCGTCGTCGCCGTCGTGATCGAGATGCTCGCTGAGCCGCTGTACATCGTGGGCCAAGCGTTCCACTACGTCAAGCTCAGGGTCTTCGTGGAAGGTGCATCCATGACCCTACGCTGCGTCCTGATGGCCGCTCTAGTCACCCTCTACCCGCAGCACGCTGTGTGGGCCTTCTCCGTATCTCAAATTGCGGCTTCTTGCTTGTACGTCGCCGCTTTCTACACGTACTTTTCCGCGAGAAAATGTGAAGGCGAAAAGCTGCCCTTCGACTCCCCGCTGTGCATCGTTCCATTCCTCGACGGCACCGTGCCGGAGGTGGACGCCGCCACTTGGAAGCTGACTCGAAGCTTCATGAAGCAGACGCTGTTCAAGCAGGTCCTGACTGAGGGCGAGCGCTACGTCATGACGCTCTTCAGCCTCCTCACCTTCTCCGAGCAGGGTGTGTACGACGTCGTCAACAACCTGGGATCGCTCGCGGCGCGGTTCGTGTTCCAGCCGATCGAGGAGAGTGGCTACCACTTCTTCGCCCAGGTGCTCCGGCGGGACAAGAAGCTCCAAGCCGCGGATGACCTCGCCCTCAGCGCTCACGTGCTGGAACAACTTTTGAAGCTCATGGTGCACGTAGGGCTGATTGTGCTGACCTTCGGCCAGACTTACTCTGCACTGCTGTTGCACCTGTACGGCGGAAGGGCGCTGAGCGTCGGTTTGGCACCGACCCTGCTGAGGTGGCACTCCGGTTACATCCTTTTCATCGCCCTAAACGGAGTCACGGAAGCCTTTGTGTTCGCTGCGATGACCAGGGAGGAGCTGGACGGACACAACCGTCGTCTGGCCGCGTTCTCCGCCGTCTTTTTGACCGCGTCCTATTTCCTGACGACGTGTTTTGGCGCCGTCGGGTTCATTGTGGCCAACTGCTTCAACATGGGAGCACGTGTCATATACAGCATGGCATTCATCCGTGGGTACTACGCTGATGGCGGCCACCGTCCCCTGTCGGGGCTGGTGCCTTCGTGGATTGTGGCCGGTGCTTGCGGCTTCAGCTATCTGGTGACGAGGTTTTCGGAACCCGAGTTTGGCGACGACCTTGGGGTTGTGGCGGGGTCGGCGCACGTTGCAGTTGGTGCAGCGTGTTTTCTGGTTGTCTCTGCTACTGTGTACTTCAGAGAGAGGGCGCTTTTCACGTTTCTAGTTTCGTCTTGGGGGGAGCGGAGAAAGGCGCCGCAAGACGGCATTAAAAGTGACTGATTCTACCCCTTTTTGAACAGATGATTCCACAAACAATCAGTTTGTTTTATTACGTCTCGCATATTCTTGGCCGAGTGTCACAGAATCAAATGTCATTAAATGACCCTTGGCTGATACACAAGCACATATTATCGTAAGTCATTCCACCCTGCGAGTTTAATGTGAAAAATCTAACGTGTCAGATTAGTTTATTTGAGTAGCTGAGCGTCTGCATGACATACATGCTGTTTTAGGTAAGGAGTGCACTAGAATTTGCAATGTTTACTAAGGAATGTGCGTAACGTTGACAGTAGGTGCACTTTCCTCTCAGCTTCACGGTTCACTCCGATGAAGTGCCAGGGGGGGGATGTCAGCGTTTGCAGTCCAATGGAGTGGTTTCCACACTTGACATCACTCCAGACGAATCTAGCAAGCTCTACATTTCACAGCAAATAGTTTAACGAAAAATTATGATAGAAAACAAACTGATCCTTCGCCACATCAGGATTGTTTGTGCCAGCTGAGCATCTCTCCCTCCCTCCGACGCGTCGCTGACATCAAAGCGCCACATCGCAAAATCTGACATTTTCGTCATGTGATGGGCGCACCGGGGAGAAATTTCTGGAATTTCTTCCTCGTGTGAATACTTCTTTAGCAGATTTTTGTGTTGCAGAGCGGGTCTCTGTAGGCACCGTGTATTTATAACTAGGGTTTTATGTTTCAGGGGCATTTGGGTTTTATTTTTTCTTGCAAACTCGGTAAATATTTTGTGTATAGTTTCAGTGTCAAACAAAAGGCTCATTTGTCGGGCTAATGTTGAGGCAAATGGAACACGTGCATGGAATCCCCCAACTTCCGTGGAACGTGCGCATCACATGAATGATAAGAAGGCATCCTGGTAACAACTAAAGAAGCAAACGAGATAATGGGTGTAACTTCTGCAGAAAAAAACATTTGCACTAAGAGTTCTGTGCAGGCTGTGTCCTGGGGCAAAACAAAACAAAGCCATAGATTAAGAATTCTTCCCATGGAGCTTGGATTATTCTTATTGAAGAACAGCACCAATTTAGGGTTTGTTACCCCCTCGATTTTGATAAAACTGACCTGGGGATTACTTCTCGAGGTTCATCGGTATACAGTTGAACCCCCCTACAACAAAGTTTTTGGGACACGCGAAAAAGTTTTTTGTCGTGAAGCTACCATGACATTGGCAAGCAACAATGATATATTAGTTTTGGTGGCACACGAACAAGCTTTAAATGCCAATGACCATTCCACACTTTTTTCTCGCTTCCTCCTCTGCCTCCTTCTACCCTTTCCACCATTGCATCTTTCCCTCCGCCCTCTTTGTCACCTACCCCAGAGCCCTATCCCTGCTCCGCTAAGCCCATGGCAGCCAAGCCATAGACTCTAACTGGAAAATTAAAGGAGTTGCAATAGAAAAGAGCAGCTCCAATATATTAACAAGCGGCCTTGAGTCCGCGAGTTCAGTGCCGTTGGCGTCGGTGCAGGTTTTTAGTCAGCGTGCCCTGCTCTGGTATTTCTGTATACGTTCCCCTTGCAGTCTTTCTTTCCTTTTGGGGAGAAGAGGGGAAGGGGGCAACGCTGGAGGCCGTTCTTTGTGTGTTTTGGGGCTTAATTTTGTTTTATTGACGAGATATCCACAATTTTGGAAAATATAGTCTGGAATGCACAGCCCCACGCAGACGCTGGTTCGAAAGTTGTATAAAAACATGTGATTGTGTGTTTGAGCGGAATAAGCCACTGCCTTCCAAGAAGGGGAGTTCGATCCTGCTTCCTAGATGCAGTGGCCTGTGCGTGAACAGAGTAGAACTTGCATGCCGTATACACCTTTCCAAAAAACGCTCCTTGGCTGCTGCCATTTGCTGATGCTGATACAGCTCGTGCAACTCTCGCGCCTCCTATCAGCTAGAAATTTTCTGCCACTCTCCTGGACTGTGAAAACCCACTCACTGCAATTTTTACCTATGTTTTGTATTTAATGTTTTTTGGCCCCTCTTGAAAGTTTCCACTTCATTTTTCTGATGCACGCTGCGTACCCTTTCTGTATTATCTTCTACTGTGAGAAATAGGGCTGGTAAATGCATGTCATTGAGGCGTTTCTGCTCGACGTTCACTGGAAACGAAGGAAAGGAAGGATGTCGAACGGCCCTCGACTCGATTTTGCGAACAATGACAACTGTTCTCCCCCCTCCCAGAGCTCATCCGCATAAATTTTTTTTTTTTCTGTAGTCATTGATACATACTTTCGTTATTTCATATGTTACACTGCACGATCATCAAGCCTCTCAAAAAAGTCAAGGCCGTCAGTTCGACGTTAGTGCGCTGTATGTCGAACTGGAGTTCTGGGGTGTCGTGTATGTGACAAGGGGTGTAAGAGCTACACCTTTTTCTGACATGTGGCCTGGACCGCCAGCAGTATATCTGGGCTCAAACACACCGTTCGGAAATGTGTATATCCTCTTTGCTGCGGGAGAAAAAAGAAGCAAACAATGTATTGTGTTTTGAAACACCCTGTACATATTAGGGTCTTATCAGTTTCGTTGCTCGCCCTAAAATTTAAATAAAAAATCAGCGCCCTGTCGCGAAAAATTTGACGCGGAAAATTTCATTTAGTGATATTTCACGGCGTAATTTTGTTCCTAGAAAATGATTCTGCATGAGTATTGAACGGTATGCGCCAACGCGGTCGACTAACGTCACTGAGAATTGTATTGGTGGCGCCATCTCCCAACACGCACATCAAACACTAAAGTCAAAACATGGCCTCCGAGATCCCGAAGCGCACGCGCAAAGGCTTCTCTGGCCGTCCCATTCGTCTCGCTCCCCAGCAGAAGGGTGTGATTGCGCTAACTCCGTCGCTCGCCGCGAGGCGGCGCTGTCTGCCCAGTCATTGCTGGCGGAAGCACTCGGCTTCCAATCACCTGCGACAAGGCCAGCGCTGAACGCGTTTCTAGATAGAGATCAACGAGGTAGAGGGGCTTAGAGCGATAAACCGGGGTTCCGGTCAGCACTCGAAAGTGACCCCCATAAGGCGGCTGCCATTGTACGCAAATTTGACCACTCGTCACATGACCGACCCAAATGCGTGACGTCACAGGAAAGATGGCAGCGCCCATGCAGCGGCTGGCCCCAGCTGAGCCGGAGCTTGTCGTATGCTTTGTTGGTTGTCGTTCGTCTCGGCGAGTTGATTTCAGACGCAGAAGCCGTCATATGAGGCCGGTCGACAGCGACTTCAGAGTTCAGCGTGGTGTCTGACGTAGGTACAAGGTGAAAATACGGAGGAACGGTGTGCATTTCGCTTGTGACCGACGGCGATATTGCCACGGAAGAGACAATCTGCCCTACGTTGCTCGCACCTCAGATTGATTCGGATACCGCTAGGATAAAATTTAAGGCGACGTTTTTGTGGTCTCGTTGACCGTCGGAACCTTCGAGATCTGCAGTAAAGCGTGTGCAATATATTTGGATACACAGTTTAGCGACGGAAATTGCGTGAGTCGTGCTTGGCAGTGTGCAATCGTGGTGCCGCTTCGTTCAAATGCCCGACGGCTCACTTTGGTTGTGCGGTGCACCGGAGAGCTGCCTTGCCGCTTGTAGTTCCCGTGCCGTGCTAAATGATACTGTGCTGCTTCCCAAATTGTTCCGGCGTAGACGTGCACTTTCACGGAGCACAGGTGTGCGGCGCGCCGAAGAGCTGCCTCCAAGCTGGTGTTCCTGTGCCGTGCTTTAGGTGATGCTGTGCTGCCTACTAAATTGTTGTGGCGTAGACGTGCACCTTCACGGAGCACAGGTGTTGCAGTTGGTATTGATTCCGCTGGTGTGTCGCACGTTTCGTCGACACCAAAGTTTCAACACTTGTTACGCGAATTGCAAGCTGTATGGGCATTTCATCGCGCGTGTTACCTACCCAGTCCACCCATTCACCCCGCTTTGCGACGGCAGTCTGTAGCGGCTCATTACCAGAATAGTGGTCTCACATCGATTTCAGTTCAGCTCGTTCACGGCAGTCGCCAGACCCCGAAGGAGAGGATTTATTCGGACAGAATGCCACTAAAGCAGTGCAACTTCTTTAGTGGTCAGGATAGACTCTTTTCTGACTGTTTTGTTATATTGTCTCGGATGCTTGCTCCAGTCCTGTTTTCTATCAATATTTACTATTCTGGAAAGTTCCAGGCCATGCTCAGCTGTCATTGTATGTTCTGGTGGAGGTGCTGCGCACTTTACCCATAGCCCTTCACTCTGTGTCTGCCCTGGCGGCTCCTCAGCCGAGTTGCCCGATAACAAGACACGGGTGGCACATTATCCCGAGTCTTAAACTCCCGGTGAGCCGTGAACCAAGTTCTATCCCGAGCCCGACAGCAAAATTGCAGGACGAGCGAGTACCACAAGGGCGAAACTCGGAAATACACCACGAAGAACTTGAAATCCAAACCAGTCGCTGCTACCAGCAAGAACCACCGGAATTAGGTCTTTTGCTAGAAAAACGGAAGCTGACTAAGCCAACAATGACAACCCTGTAGCAGCAAACCACGTCCGCTCCCACCATCGTTTGCATGCCCGTCGCACCTCGCACTCCGATGCCCTTTCACGCAAGACGTCGAGGGCTGGATTGAACAATATGACCGTGTCGCCCGCCGCAGTGGGTTGATGGACAACCAGCTCCTGCAGAACCTATACTTCTCGTGGAAGAAACTGTGAGACACTGGTTTGAGAACCAAGAATCCTCCTTAACGTCGTGGGAAGTTTGCAAGATCGAGCTGAAGTGCATGTTCATCAGCCAACATTGACGAGAGAGAGCCGAACTCCTGATTCTGTCCAGGACACGGCCCCAACGAGAGCATCACCACCTTCGTGGAGGATGTTTTGCTTCTGATCGAGCACCCACGCCAACCCTGATGCTACAGAAGACAAGAAGCTAAGATTCCCATGTTCCTCATGTGAGGGACAACACCTTCAGCAGCCTTGTCCGCAACCCCACGACAACAGTCGAAGGGTTCATATCAATGAAGCTTCCAACAATGAATGTAAACTGCAGGCCCGAGCATGTCACTATTAAAAACTCCCCAGCGTCGCGACACTCAAGCCGTCCAGCTGCAACTTCGACGCCAGCCCC